GAGACAGAGCTTTCTGATCAACACCTGAGTGAGTTGCTTTTGCTCTGGTCCTTCCTGTAGTGTTTGACTCTGTGCTTCCAAAGCTGCTCAAACATTTCAAGACACACACGTGCGCGTGCACGCGCACGCACACACACACACACACACGTCACACTAATCCAGTACCTGTGATTGTGTCTGTGTCCAGTCACAGAGGGTCACAGGATTGGGATTGACTTACATCACGCAACAGAGCCTCGACATGCAGTTATGAAAGATCAGCAGTGAAACGTCACCAAAGTGTTAACTTTGAGATTTGAGATGTCATGTTTTAAAAAAGTACTTTGTGCAAGATGTTTTTTTTTTTTTAACATTTGGTGGGGAAATATACATTTTTCACTCATAAGGACATTATTTTGCTGATCTTTGACTCATCCTTCAGATTTCTACCAGACACCTGAAAGATGTTAGGTTCATAACTTCAACCTCCTTGACAAAATCCTTTAATCCCAAAGCATAATGCTTCCTCCACCATGTTTGGCTGTATGTATAGTGTTCAAATATCAGTTTGTGATTTATTTAGTGCTTAAATGCAGAAATGTGTTGTTAGTGACTCAGTTTTAGTAATTTTTGTGCCTTTGAGTTTCATTTAGCAGCAGAGTTCATGGTCATATGATCATTGTGACCTTATGATGACTTCAAACACGTTTCCACTGCCTCTCTGATGATTGGCTGCTGCTCCAAACGAGACTCCACCTCCTTCATAGAGCAGCCAGTCAGCAGGCAGACTAAAGCCAATGGGACGACCTGAACAACAGACACGGACAGATATTGATTCATTTCTACATCTGACTGCTTCCACGCTTCACGTTGCCATACCTTCTTGGCCTTCGCGGCGGTGTGTGTGTGTGTTTCCAGGCTGCAGGTCGCTATGTCTTCACTGAGCTTGTCCACTTGATAAATGGCCTTCAGCAGGGCTTCCTCGCACTCTGACTCCGAATGACCGGACAGCTTCTAAAAATCAAACAGTTTTAGTCGATTTTATTTTATTGTCAGAACAGATTCAGACAATAAATTAGGATAAAATATGAAAGAATCAGCCATGGCGATCCTGACCTGCAGTAAACGTGCGGCTCTGCGGTAGAGCTTGCTGTTGGTGACTTGCAGGTCGATCATGTAGTTCTTAAACACTTTTCCCTTGAAGATGTGAGCGCCGGTGCTCACCGCGTTCAAAAGCAGCTTAGTGGAAAACTCCCGCTGCCGAGAAGAGAAAACAACTCATCCGGTTTCTCAATCACAAATTAATCTGTGGGCGTTTCCTGATTTTACTAGCAAACGTTCCCTGTAAAGGAGGCTGAAGATAAGGAGACGAACCAAGTGTTGCAAACGTTTGGATGCTTCTTGAGGCCATGTGAAGATAACGGTGGATGAACACAGTTTATTTATGTCATCCTACGATAAAAATAGGAATATAGGTGATAGACTTTATATAGATTCCCATAAAAACAAAACATTTTTGCACGTTACCGTAGATTTCAAAGAAACAGTTACTTGTTTTGCAGCGGCGTCGCCATCAGTCTGGTGATAAGCAGCATGAATGTTCGATGTCTTTTCTCTCACTCTGCGCGCCATCTTTGCCACCTCGTCGACATCATCTGTGAGGACAGGCTGTCAGGACACACGCTGACTCGGTTCGGAGACGACCCGAACGCGAGGGCGCGCTCGTCTCACCAGAGTGGGAGTAGAGAAGCAGAACGGTGTCGGCGTCCGTGAGACGGGGCAGGACGCCATCCAGAAAGTCGTCATGAGAGATGCTGAACTCAGGACCCTGAGGAAAGAGACGCTCAGGATGATTTGACTTTTTTTTTTTTTACACCGTCCCCGTAATGAAACACAATTCACTTTTAGTAGAACAGTGACCTTAAACGCACAACCAGAGCCAAAATAGACTTGTTTTTCTCTAAGAATCTCAATGCTCTGGTGCGGACCAGTCAAAGTTCAACTAAATATTCAATAGAGAATCATTGAAAACACCCAATAATTTCAGATTAAGCTCTAAATGCTTGCAACTCTTATTACATCCCAACAAATTATATCAAAGTTTGAAGCTACAGTGTGAGAAAATGTAGCGTAAATGCCATTCAGTCAGTTGTTTCCGCTTCAAAGTTACGTCAAATCTCTCTATTATGAAGGCGGTGCATTGTTAAAACCAAAACTGTTTGATGTGTTAATTGCTAATTAATTCGTTTTATTGGCCTCTGTTTTGCTCAAGCTGAAGACAATGGCCCAGCAGCCTCCACATACCATCAAAGTCAAATCGCCCTCATTGTTGCCGAGTTCTTTGTAGCCTCCGCTGACAAAACCCCGAATGTCTTCATGGTCTAACAGACGCACAAATGGACACGTTTACAAAATGTCAAATATTTTTTTACATATTTTTCCGAGTAGTCTCACCTGCTCCAAATGTGGGCTTACATTCACTGGCGTCTATAAGGCCCAGCAAACCCAGGGAGCCCCAGCCCAGGTAACACACCTGCCTCCCACACTGCAAACTGAAACACACAAAGTGAGCAAGAGCAGACATTTTTGTTGTGACTATTACGACGAGTTTGATTGATTTAATGTTCATGCCTGCGTCCAGCGGCCTCCATCAGAGCAGCTATCTCCTCTGAATGCGAGTATGTAAAGTCTAGAGCTTTTTCATAAGATCTCATATGCTGCAGAATCCCACTGTGTGGAAAAAACAGAGCGACAAAATACCAGTAAGCATTTTACATTCACTATACCTACACATCTTGGACTTTTATTTCATTTTAATTTCACAAACTAACCTCTAGAGGTCAGCAGCACCTTACCAAACACAAAGTGCTTCTTTGAAACCACAGCCTAGAAAAACTAAATCACTTCCTGCTATTTTATTTGCTTCTGTTGCATAAAGTGTGTTGGTAGAGACTTAAAAGAGAGCTGAGCTTTACTAATGTGTAAAACTTGTCCTCGTTTCTCAGGTGGACGGCTTAATGGAGACGACCGTAAGCTGTTGCCTTCAAACACAAAGAAGCACTTAGAGAGTGGCGGGCTGCTCCTCTGGGTGCAGAGAAGAGAGACGACTCGAGGCGCCATGAAGTCACATCAGGGCGACTGGCTGGTGACAGGAAAACTACAGCCATTAAATGGTTGTTTATTTGACTCCTTCAGTGCTTTAAAAGAGAAACATGAAGGATTGTTTTTATTGCTGTGGCTGAAGCAATGAAAACTCATTTTCGTTTTGGGCCAAATCAAGATCCTGAATGCTCTTAAAGGGCCGGTTGTGCCAGAATTTACTGATGAAACCTGTTTACAAAACTGATAAAATATCAATGAGTTCTTAAAATTAAACGTTACTGAATATCTTTTCAGTCCCTCCAGGATTTCGTAATTCTTTTTGTGATTTTTTTGCAGTAGAAATCAAAGTGTTTGTGGTACTAATTTGAAACTAAAATAGCAGCTCCCACTCGAGCAGCTGCACATAAAATCCTTTGGACCGCTCCTCCGCGTCCCCATTGTGCGTACTTGAATGTGACGGGCGTTCTTGAGAAGCTGGCAGAGAAGACGACCTCCAGGAGGATCTTGGTGGCGCTGCCTCCCTTCATCCTGGAGGAGCCGCTGATGGCTTCCGGCTGAGTGGACGCAAGCGTTCACACACAGAAATCTGAGTCACTGCTGGGACAGTTTAGAGCCTTGACACAAATGCATCCTGAGCAGCTAGTGGAAGAATGGGATGAAGCGTACCCCGAGTGCCGGGTTGATGAGGAAAGCCTTTTGCGTTTTGGCGAGCTCTTCCATCCTGGTCACCACACTGTGAAACGTTAGCGTGCAGCCAGGTATGGGCTCTTTCCTACACAGAGAAACATTCATTTCACGTTAAATGTAAATCAGTGGATGTATGTATACATTCAGATTGATAGGGATCCTCACCTGGCCTGATGTGCAGGATTAAATCCAACCAGTACAGGTATGTAAACATCAGGATGCCGGAGGCAGAAATCCAGCTGACCGGCCACAAACGGAGCCTGCAGGGAAATAATCAACAATTACAAACAATTTATTCCGATTCATGAACCTGCTGACATGCAAATCCGACTCACAGATAATCCACAGGAGACGCCGACGAACAAGACTCTTTTCTTTCCTTCAGAAACCTGCAGAGAACCAGAGGAAGTGATGCGTTCGCACGCCTGGCACACACTTAAACATGTGATGGTGCTGACCTTTTTCAGACACAGCGCGCCCAATGTGGGGTCATCCTCTGGAGCCTCTTGAGAGGAAAACAGAGCTCTAAGGAAAATGGAGAGTAGAGTGTGAAAAAATTAGTAATAATAATAATTCCATTATTATTATTACAAATTTTTCTGGGCTTTATTTTACAGTAATCCGACAGTAATTGAACCGAGGACGTGAGTCGAACTCAGGACTTTTACTTGCAAAATAAACAAGAAAATATTTAACAAAATAAGCAAAGCCGCCAGATTTATGTAGCTAGCAAAGAGTGAATCATTGCAGATTTGAAACAAAGACGGGTTTTACAAGTTTGCCAGATTTAAGAGAAAAAAAAAGACGGCAAACCATATCCTAAAATTTTCAGGTTCATCAACTTTTTCTAGATTTTTTAGTGTCTTTTTAGCAAAAACAAACAAATAAAAACTGGATTTTGCTCATTCTTGCTTTACTTTGCCATGTTTATGAAATGGGCATGCCCAAGACTGCATTTAAGTGAAAGCCACTGGTTGTTTTTGGTCCTTATTACTAAGAAATTCAATTGAATTCAATTCAATGAAAAGTAAAAACCTGTTTGAATACTGTCTTCCATTTTTAGATAATAACTGTTTATCTTTTTTGTGAAAGGCCATTTAAAAACAACAATATTTTAAATGTGGATGTGCAAATCAAACTTAAACGATTCTTGAACTGTGATCATGGGCCGCCCAAAATCGTTCTAAGGGCCGCAAATGGCCCTCGGGCCACACTTTGGACACCCCTCTGTGTAAGACCTCTGAAAATGAGGAAAACTGAATCTCACCTGTCTCCTCCTGCAATGACGTACGAACAGACGGGGGCGTAGTTCAGCCGCTGCAGCTCTCTGTTAAATCCTGACTAACGACACAAACACGACTTTAAGAATATCAAATATAGCTCAAATATAGAGTTTTTCAAATGATGAAATCTTTTACCGCCATGAAGAATGCAAGTCGGCCAGAAGTGCCACAACCACTCAGAACCACGAGGCTGTCCTGAGGATCCTGTTAAACATAAAAAACACACTAAAAGTCCTGAATCTTAGCCTCGTTAGCCAGTTAGCGAGCTTACATCCCCCAAACCGGATGATACCTTAAGAATGAGCCGCACCCTCTCGGCCACCTCCATTAAGGTTTTCACCATTTCCTCGCTCAAAAGTCTCTGGAGAGAAAATTCAGTTTCATTACTTTCATTATTTTTCCACCAACCAGTTGAGCTCCGTTACCTGATATTGTGTTTGGGACTTTTCCTGAAACATCTGGGCGTCGCAGGCCTGTAGCATCTTCATGATGCTGGAGGCTGGAGCTCTGTCTATGTGGCGCGTTAGCGGGTTGGACTTCTCCGACACAGGAAGGGTCGGCTCATAGTCTGCAGACTGAAACACAAATTACGCTTTAAGGCTTGTTCAGACTAATAAGGTCATAAAAAGTTACAACTAAGTCTCATGGAGAATTTCTTTATATTATTTTTGCTCATTTTCAGCTTTTCAGCTGAGCTCCGTAGCTACTTAAATGTAATCAGACTGAAGAGAACTGCTTTCTTCTGAAGTTTCTTAGTTTCACTTTCAATTTTGCCTTTCTTTCACTTTGAAAGGCTGCAGCTCACAGTACTTTCCCAATCTTGTATATTTGCTTTTTTTTTAAACGCTAAAATTCGCTTTTAACATCAGGCAAAAGCCAACATTGGATAAATTTGTCTTTGCAACGTAGCTATAAAATCCTAAAGCTAACAAACAAACTTCCTCTTTTACCCCACCAAACACTCGCTATTTCCTTTTCCTCTACATTTCTGTCAAGGTTAACACGGTGTTAGAGTGTAGAAAGTAACTCGATATTTTAGACTTACTTCCCAATCGTGAATTGTAGAAAACGTATCAATTCTGTCTGGTTTTGCCACAAAAGCCATGTCTGTCCTTTTTCTGCTAAAATCACACAAAAAAAACTGTCGGTTTCATTTTGTTTAGAGGCAGGGCTTAAAGTGAAAGTCATTTCTGTCTGAGGTAACAAGGTTCACTAATGGACCTTTGAGACACAGGAGGAAAAGTAACACACACACATTAACAGAAAGACTTAGAGAGTCTTTTTGTAACATGGAAAAGATTACGGTTAGAGTTTAAGGTAGTGAAAATTAAATTAAAGCACTGAAATTTTGGGGGGAAAAAAATCACTCTGTGTATTTAGAGTGAAGAATAAAGTCAGGACTTTGGCTGAGTCACTTAAAAACTTTTTTATTATCGCTTCCAGTCAGAAAAAAACTACTGTAATCTTAAGTATGCTAGGTTTTGGGATTAACTGTAAGGTTGCTTTTCATGAAATCCACTTCATGTGATTCGAGTTTTTCACAACTACAAAGTATAAACTACAAAAAAATAAATAAATAAAACTTGCCAGAACTAAAAAGTCAAAACCAGGTTTGAATGAGGATTATTACACATTGAGGAGGATGGGGAAGATAAGAATAAAATCTCTAAAGTTCATACATTTTGCAACAAAAGCTGAATTTGATTTTAATATTTCCACATATTGTTTCCAGGGACGTCTGTGCATGTAAAAAAAATTAAAAAAAATTCTTGACTGCAGGAGCAGCGCAGATCCAACCGAATCCCAGGCAGAGAGAAAATATTTACACCACAGCAGATTGTGGAGTCTGATACATTTCATCACTCCCCCGAACTCCTACCACCGTCTCTCAGAGCTGCCGGCTAATCGCTGACAACGACACGACAACGACGTTTGAGTTTTTTTCCATTTCTCCTTCCAACCAGAAAGAAAAGACCAACAATTTTTTATTTTTATTTTTTTTTTTTTTTGCTTCACGCTCCACAATGTGTGCCATCTTTTTCAATAAACACGACTCCTCAGGAGGCCTATGGCTCCAGGGTGATGCTTTAGCATTATTACTCATTACTAGCCGACGCTGATTATTAATGATATCTGACATCTGAAGAACACTTTGGTGTTAACCTTTCTGAGTCAAGCCGACAGCAGAGCTGTGCATGTGGGTTGTGTGATAAACCAGTCAGGACTTTTTCACCGTTATTGTCTGTTCTTTGCAACAAGTTTAAATACTTAAAGACGGTTTCAAAGTATGTTTTAAATCTGTAAAAAGGAAATTGTTTGAAAAGGATTCATGAGTTTTGAAGTTTAAAACAACTTTAAGAACATGATATAAAACTAAATACACTGAAATGTGTCCAGTTTAACCAGATCCAAGTAAATTGTTCCCAGAAATTTTATTTCATGGCTCTTGACCCAGGATGGCATTAAGCTGAGGTTGGCTGGCATCAGCACTCACGGATAAACACTGAATGTTATCTATCATTTCTTATTAAGTTTTCTAATCTTTCAAATTACTTTACTTTGACTGGACCATTCTAACACATGAATATGCTTTCATCTGAACTATTTCATTGCAGAGTTGAGCCTCTAAGATTTTTAGGTTTGCAGTACACATTCTGAACCTTCATAATGGATTTTAATTATCTGTCGTAATTGACAGAGGTCTGGTTTAAGTGGTCACTTAAACCAGACCTCGCTCTCCTTCTTCTTCTGCATCCCTACGTTCCGCCTGCCTCGCTTCATTCGTCAGAAACTGAACACAGCGTTCCCCCTAAATGATGCAGCAGCAGCAGCAAAGAACAATGTCTGAACTGATGCATTATAGAGACACAGCCACTCCAGCAGAAGGGTCTTTCTCTGTGCGCCTCTGCCAGCGAACACAATTCACTTTCTTACAATGTAGTTTGTTCTTTCTGCTTCTCAACAGGATTAATTTAAAATCCATGTAATGCATTTTTTTTTTTTTTTTTTTTTTAGAAGCCATCCATCAATAAGTAAGGCTCTCTCATCTTGCTGCCTCTTGGATAATCTTTGAGACCTTAACAATTCATGCACACTGGAAAAATCTCTTCTGAATTATCTTAACAAAACCTCCCAAAAAATGTAATAAATCATCCCAACAATACATCCATTCTGTTCACTGAGGAAAAAAGATCAGTTTTTAGGTATTAAGTGATATTCTAAATGTTCAGAAACTCACAACAGCTCTTCTCATCATGTGTGAATACTTGAACTTTAATGTGCAAGTAATATTTTAAGATTTAGCATTCAATCATTTAAATCAGCCACACTTTCAAAAATGCTGACAAACATATGCATCTGGATAAATGTGGGTGAAACAGCCAAGTCACCTTAAAGTATACATGATCTGTCCACCATCTTGGATTAAAATATGGCCGCCAAATATCTGTTGGTACGTGAGCATTTGGGGTGACAAGATATACTTTAAATATCTGGACAATTAGAGTTATTATCAGCTGAAGTGTTTTACATAATAAATATTTTTTTAAAATGTTTTCTGAGGGTATTTGCAATGGTTTTTGTGAAAAACTGGGTTACAATATCACAATAAAAACATATAAGCTACCTTTAGAAACAGCCTCTTTGGCAGTTTTAATTCTTCCTAATTATCCCCTTCACCGATTTGTTTATTATTTTAGCACAACTACAAGAAACTTCACATCTTTCCAGCGACTTTACAGCTAAAATAAACAAAGAACAGTCTGGATCTGCATCTCATCTGTACCTGGTGTTATTTAGTGGTTTGATTGCATTATATTTTCATTGCTAACTGGATCTGAGTATTTTTTTCCCACTGCTTTCAGAGTCATTTTTTCCAGGCTGGAAGCTGCCAGCGTTCTCCCCTGCCGTCAGCCCTACTGCGCTTGCATTAGCTTCAACAGAGTGAGCCTTAGCTACATCCATAACAAGCCAGTTCACTCCTATTATCCGTCCTGCTTTTCCAGCAAAGCTGGGCATCATCAGTGCATCTGTAGCTGCTCCGCTGTCACATGTGCAGTTTCTGGCTTTTTCACTTGTCAGTAAACTTCAGTAGACATTACTCTGCTTATGTGACAAGTCCTAAAGATGGAAAACGGTTCTTAATCGGAGGCTCTATCTTGCAATGTGAGGTTAACTGATTTCACTGCTGCAGAACTAAATAATCACAGCGCTGGATCTCAAGCCCTCTGGCGTTTTTACTAATTCATTTGCAGAAATATTGTGTAGTGGAGGGTGGGATTGCAGCTGCAACAAGCCTGCCTTTTCTTTATACACGTTTTTTTTATAGGGTATACAGAAAAATGGTTCGAAAATCAGGCAGGAAAATTTATAAACTCGCATAAAATCAAATGAAACATCCCAGTTATGCTTTCGTCTAAATGTCAGGGGCAGAAAATCCCAAGCTACACGAGCAAACAGCTGTACTCCTTCTCCCATGTCCTTCAGCCTTCCAGCTGTGGTTGTCATGACAACAAGGGCTAATCTCCAGCGGACGGCGAAAAAGTGCAAGGGATTGCATGAAAACGAGCTCCTGATTTTAAAGAAACATAAGTAAATCTCTCCAAGAGGCATTTTGGTTTTCCTTTATTATTATTACTTAATTCCCCTCACCTGCCCTTTACTTTCCCTTAAGGAAAACCTTGATTTATGCTCTTTATCTTCCATTTTTTTACCTGAATCTGTCCATGCAAAACCTACATTTCTGCTTTCTTTTCATCCTGTAACCATGTCCTCATTCTCAATCCTGCCACCCTTCTCAGTACACTCAGTTCCCCTCTAAATCCAAAAGGCTCTGATTCCTGGCTGCTCAGCAGGAAACATCAAAGTATGTCATGGATGATTAGGGTGTGGATTACCGAGGAGTACAGCGATTATAACCTGGAGTATGGGAACAAACCTGGAGCGGAATGTTCTCCATGCGTCTTGCTGTTGATTACATTCTGTTCCCATTCAGTGCAAAAAGTCGCCATGTACAGATGTGCGCATGGGGTTAAAGTTGTTCCATCCTGCAGGGGGCGGAGTGAGAGTGTGTGAGTGAGGGAAAGTGAACAGTAGGGGGGAAACCGGAGCTGCAGAGGGGCTGGAGCTGCGGAAAGCAGAGGAGCGGACAGTGGAGGCAGCCGATACCGGGAACCTGCAGGCTGAACGGAGGCGGCGTGAGAAGCAGGACTCGGTTCCGGGTTACTGGACGAAACAAAAGTCGGGTGTCCGGTGGGCTGTCACGCACACACGTCGCCTTCATTCACGCGCGCGCGCGTCTTAAGAACAGCGGGAGATGCATTACGTCATAACCTCCCATCGCCCTGGATGACCGCGCGCGCAGGAGGAGATGATGCGGGGCTGCTGGAGTAAAAGAGAACCAGATTCCGCCGCTGCCGCACGCGAACGCCCGGGGGCGGTGTCCCGCGCGGGGAAGCAAGAAGAAGGGGAGCCGCCCTCGCGCGGCCGCCGGCTCTGATGGCTCCTCGCGCCCCGGGCGAGAAAGAGACACAGCAGTCGCCGCGGCGCGAGAGGGAAGAGGACAGGAGGTACCTGGGAAGTGACGTGGTGTCCGCGCCCCGCGAGCAGTCACCACGGTGCGGTTGTCGTGCGTTTCACAGGAGGGCAGGAGCGGGAAGGGGAACATGGCCGCGAAGTCGGACGGCGGCAAAGCCGGTGTCGGCTGCGGCGGCGGCGGCAGCGGCTTCGCCCAGCTGTACGACGTTGACGCCGAGGAGCCGCTGGACTCCGCCGCGATCCACATCTGCCAGTGCTGCCGCTCCTCCGCCTGCTACTGGGGCTGCCGCTCAGCCTGCCTGGGCTCCCTGCTCGGAGGGGGCCAGCCGGTCGGAGGGGTCGGCATCCGGGAGACCCACTGCCCTCCCCGGGAGCAGCTGTGGCTGGACTGCCTCTGGATCATCCTCGCCCTGCTCGTCTTCTTCTGGGACGTTGGCACGGACCTGTGCCTGGCGGCGGACTACTACCACAGGCAGAACTACCTCTGGTTCGGCCTGACGCTCTTCTTCGTGCTGGTGCCGTCCGTGCTGGTCCAGATTCTGAGTTTCCGCTGGTTCGTGCAGGACTACACCGGCGGGGGGCTCGGAGAGGTGGAGGGGCTTACGAAGAGGGGGACGGTGGTTCAGGGCTGCCTGTATCCCGGAAAGGACCGCCTGCAGCTGGCCACCATCTGGCTGTGGCAGGCCACCATACACATCCTCCAGCTGGGACAGGTGTGGAGGTGAGAACACACCTGAGCCTCTCCTCACCTCTCATTGCTACAAGAAAGGAAATTGACAGACAGCGACATTTGGAGTCACAAAATCTGATTGGAGTCATGATAAAGTTAAATTAAATGGTTTAGTTTACTACAAATGAAGCTTTAAAACTGGCGCTCTCCATGGTGCTGAATCCATTTCCAGTATAACAATGTTTTGTTTCTGTTAACTTGGGGATAAAAAAACTTCTAGATACTAAAACAACCACTTGAAAATGGCCCTATAGTGGTTCAATCTAAGCATATTTATGTGTTAGAAAGGCCCAGTCAAAGTTCAGATCTAAATCCAATTGATAATTTTTAGGAAACAGATGTTCACATGTGCTTTCCATCCGGTCTGACTCAGCTTTTGCTACATAATTCATCTGATTGCCATGAAAATACATCAAGGTCTGTAGTCGTATATTGTCAAAACATGGGAACAATTTCAGGCAGTGTCCAGTAGCTATGCGCACCAAAGAGGTCAGAACTCCGTGTTTCCGTGCGTACGCGTGTGCGTTCATGTGTGTCAGCGTGTGTGACGAGTGGAAAAACGGTGTCACGGCTCTTCCCCACGAGTGTCAGCGTGCATGGAGAGTACAAAGAGGAAAAGCATCTGCGCTTCTGGCAACTCTTCTCTCTCGCATGCTCACTATTTGTCTCCCTCCCCTCCCCATCTGACACACGCACACACAGTAGGACATGCTTAGGTGTTAATTGAGGTGCTAACAACACTGTCAGGGGAACAACGTGGAAGACACACAGACACGTCTCTCTCTCTGTTGCAAAGTAGTAGCAGCACATAAATCCCTCTAACGGTGCCCAGTAGCTGGAAAAAGGTCGAGTTTCTGTGTGTGTTTACGTCCAACTTCTTCTCTGCTTTGAGTTGTAGGGTTAAACTGTCATACAAACCACAGAATGGAAGGAAGGAAGGATGAAAGAAAGGAAGGAAGTGGAATGGCCTGATTGAGACAGATTGCTTTAGAGATGGAGAGGGGAGTGAAAATGGGGGGGAGGGTAAAGAAACAGAGATCAAGAGGAGGAAGGGAGAAGGGAGAGTGGTGGGGGTAGGGTGGAGGATCTACTCAGATAATTTAGAAGCACATCCTCTCATGTCAGAGCTAATCGAATTCGCCTGCCAGTCAGTATTCACCTGAGAATTACAGAGAAGACTTCCTGTTTTCCCTCATATCCTTGTTATTTAGTCAAGGACATAAAGCACTTGGACACAGTCGCAGTTGGAAGTTCACGCTTTCTCCCATAAAACACTAATAATTAATGTATGGAAACTTCTGAGCAGAATTGTATCCATGGGTCACATTAGAGCAAAAACAATCATTGTTGCTCTAAATTTCTTCAGAGCTATTGTAAGTTTGTGTGTGTTGTTGGGAGTGTGGATGCTGCATTATTTATGTAATATAAAGCTTCTACTGTGCATTTCCAGCCGCAGAGGGGTAATAGCCGTACTTACAATAACATGCATAATGCTGAAATACGCTACAGTACTATGCCTGGGCGATATGGCTTAAAAATAAAACTTGACCCTTTTTTTTATACTAGATCCAATTTTCGATTTTGATCGATTTTTTTCTCAACTTCTTTTCTGAAAAAGAAACTACAAATGACAGGAAATAATTTCCAAAAGTGGCCTTTATTTCAAACATCCCTTCTATGACACAGCACTAGGAATGCAAGCATAAAATTAGCAAAATAAAAACACAGTTTTACAAGAAGAACATTTTAAAATTAATAGAAAAACGTTTATTGAGAATTAAACTTCAATAGAGTTATCAAGATCTGCACCACGTGATTCTTTCATTAAGATGTACATATATTTTTGCTCAGTCATTTCGGAGTCCTGCTGCTGCTGTGTTAAAAGATTCTCATAAAATTACTGCTTCATTCTTCTAAAATTGAGACTTAATTCTCATATTACTTTACCTGATTTCTTGTAATTATATGACTTTATTTCTGGAATAAAAAAAAATTTTAGAATATTTATGGAGTTGACCTGAAAGTCCAAATAAATAGAAGTTGCTTGTCAAACAAGATGGCGGCCTGGGCGCGCTGACTTCACTCTGAACTATGGAAACTCAAGAAGGGAATTGGGGGTGGGGGGGTGTTGAATCCCGATTTCCAAAAGTCACATCTTCAAAAACCAAAAATTCGATTAATTGATCAAATCGATAAATCGCCCAGCCCTATTTTGGTTGCACTTGTGACTAATACCGACCAGAAATCAAGTCAGCATGTATCGACCAGCATATTTCAATTTATACAGAAGCCATTTTTTCTCCTGTCACTCCACTATTTGTAGTAGCTCATTCAATCTTGAGTCATCTGCTGATTAGATTCCCGATTAGTCAATTGTTTTGTCTAGAAAGATGTCAGAAAATAGTGAAGCTGCTCACCAGAAAATAGTGAAGCTGCTCACCCTGATCGTCCACAGATGGTACAATCCTGGTTCTGACTCATGCGACCGGCCCCTGCCCTCTCCTCCCAGTAGACCTGACTGGTTTCCGATGTCGTCCGCAGGTACATCCGAACCCTCTACCTGGGGGTGATGTCGCGGCGGCAGAAGGAGCACCAGCGGCGATGGTACTGGGCCATGATGTTCGAGTACGCCGATGTCAACATGCTGCGCTTGCTGGAGACGTTCCTGGAGTCTGCGCCGCAGCTGGTGCTGCAGCTCTGCATCATGATCCAGGAGAACCGAGCCGAGACTCTGCAGTGTAGGTGGAGCAAACAATCCGTGGCGTTAACTGTGTGTTTTGTTCACAACAAAGCGCTTGTTAGCCAACAGCTGCACAGGCAGTAATTAGCCATTTGCACACATTGCGCGCAGTAATGTGTGGCTGCAGATGGTGCGGGAGTGTTTGTTCAGGTATTCTGGTGAAGAAAGTGCCATTTTCCCTCCTCTTCCTTAATCATCCAGGATGTGTATCATCCAGGCGGCCACCCACTGGGATTATTCATCCCTATCACTCTTTGGGGGTGGGGGGGACGCTTTTCACTTTAATGCAAATACGTGACTGTCACACAGGGGGGCGGATGAACACGTCGTCTGGAACAATCAAAATAACTTAATCTCGTCGTGTCACATCTCTTAAATAATATGTCCAACGGTATTAACGCCTCCTGAAACTCCGAGGATGTGCTTGTCTCTGTTCCATAACCCTCCTCTCTCTCCTCAGGCGTCTCCTCCCTCGCCTCCCTCCTCTCCCTCGCCTGGGTTCTGGCCTCCTACCACAAGCTGCTGCGCGACTCCCGGGACGACCAGCGCAGCATGAGCTACCGCGGCGCGCTACTCCACCTCTGCTGGCGCCTCTTCACCATCTCCTCCCGCGTCCTCTCGCTCGCCCTCTTCGCCTCCCTCTTCCACATCTACTTCGGCATCTTCGTGGTGTTGCACTGGTGCGCCATGGCCTTCTGGGTGGTGCACGGCGGCACCGACTTCTGCATGTCGAAGTGGGAGGAGGTGCTCTTCAACATGGTGGTTGGCATTGTCTACATCTTCTGTTGGTTCAACGTGAAAGAGGGACGGACGCGGTACCGGATGATTGCGTACTACACCGTGGTGTTGGCCGAGAATACCATCCTGACGGGCCTGTGGTGAGCTAAGGATGAAATCTCCACTGCTTATGAAATCATGAAGAGTTTTGGTTACATTTTGTACTCGATATTATATCCTGTTCGACTTTCTATAACCTCGATTGAAATTTAGGCTTTCATCTCTAAGAGCTTTGTGGCAAGAGAGGACCACTTTAATTGGCTGATTTTCAAAAGCAATCAGGAATACTTAATTATTATTTACTAAGATGTCAAATATTAAACTCATAGGATCAGATTGCAACTATGATAACTTTCAGATAATAAAAATTATTCTGTGCACTTTTTTTAAGTAAACTTGCCAATTCCTTAAAATTTTTAATTTTAGCCTATTTAAACTCTTCGGTGGCAGCTCCCATTGAAGCGGTGGTATCTAGAGTCAGGTGTCACAAAAGTTGTGGCGGATGTATGTATATACATATGTTTTTGGGTTCTTTTTATTGATGTTTTTTGTGTGAACTTATTCATATTCAATATTCATATTCAATATTCAATCTGCCACAAAAGCCAGAAGCTGACACTACTAAGCTGTGGCAGCTTCCGGCAACCATGGTTGCATATTGACAATGAGAATGCTGTTAAATTTGATTTGACAGATTTAGCGACAGATTTAGCGCAGCAGCAGCTGCCACCGGAAGTACTACTACAGCTGCCACTTACACAATTTGAGCATCTATCTCTCACTAAATCTGTCAAATCAAATTTAACAGCATTAGCATTCTTAAAATAGAAATCTTAAAATATTAGACATTTGGTGTTTGTTAAGATTCAAGCCCTGATGGTTTGAAGGCCATAAGCAGCGGCTCAGCTTGCTCATGCCTTGGGCCGGCTTTGAGTGTAAGCTTAGTATTTACATGCCGTTTGAACCCGCGTCTCTTCTCTCCTGCAGGTACGCCTATCGAGATCCGGCGCTGACCGACTCGTACGCCGTCCCGGCCCTCTGCAGCGTCTACCTGACGTTCGCCGGGGGCGTCCTCGTCATGTTCCTGTACTACGGCTTCCTGCACCCGGCCACCGCCCACCTCCAGCCAAGCCCAGCCTCCTCCTGCTGCGCCCAGCTGCTCTGGGGTCTGCCGCTTCCCCCGTCGGCCCCACCCACTGCCCCGCCCACCCCGGCACACATGGCCAAGTCGCAGACGGAGGAGGACGTGGCCGAGTCGTGCCTTCCCGTCTTCCAGGTGAGGTCCGCCCCCCCGACCTCCAAGCCCGAAGGCCCGCTGATAAAAATCGACATGCCCAGGAAGCGCTACCCGGCCTGGGACGCTCACTACGTAGACAGGCGCCTGCGGAGGACTATAAACATCCTGCAGTACATAACGCCGGCCGCCGTGGGCATCCGCTACCGCGACGGGCCGCTACTGTACGAACTGCTGCAGTACGAGTCTTCACTCTGACACACACACACATACAGAGGTACACTTGAGCACATACAGCACTAGAAAATCTACATGTGGATGTTCAAACTTAGAGAAGACAAAGGAAAAAAAGTCATGAGCAAAAGGTCTCACTTGATATAAGCACATGCACACTGAAGCAATCTCACTTTTAAGCACACACACACACACACCCGCACACACTTCTTGTAAGTCCCGTGGCCGTGACTCAGCAAGCTGCTTCAGTCCATCTTCTTCTTTCTCACTTCTTTCTCTCTTCACTTGGTCTCGTTTTTATGAACCTCCCTTCCGTTCTCTGCCATGTAGATGGACAAAAAAAAATTTAAAAGAGAAACAAGCACATTTCTACAGCAGCGCAATTATCACACATTGAGTGACACAAAAGAGCGAAAAAATTGTCACTTAAAAAAAATAAATGGGATCGTCAATATGTGGTTAGTCTAGTCAAAGGGTTGTGTAAATATTTTCTTTGTACAGAGCAGATATTTTTAATGTAATGTTACTTTGCGGCTGGACAAAGAGCTTAAGGACAGTTTGGGAGCGATGAAGGTTACTAGGGAAGGGCAAAAGAGGCAGACAACAGTATTAACGTCAAAAACTTGGAAACAAATGTCTCATCTTACGTTTTAGCTATTCAGCGTCTATCAGATCATCAATAACCAGAACAATAAAAATATAATATAAGCTTAGTTTGGTTCAGAATTACCAGTCATGGTTTGCCTGAATACATTCAAACAAAGGCAACATAATATAATTTAGAGAAAAACATACTAAATAACTAGTTTTGTTTTGTTGTTTTAGTTTTTTGTTCTGTATAAATGGGATTACATGTCCACTCTTAAACCCATAGCTATTCACAGCCTTTGTAGCTGTAGAACTATCTAGTCAGAGATTTCTGCAAAAATGAGAAACTACGATCAAAATATTCATTAATAATTCAACAGATTGATATAAAACAACAAAAGTAATACAATTTTAATTCCAGAAGGATTAACTAAGACCTGCTTTATTCCTCTCAGAAGCGTTAAAAATTAGTTCTTTTGCCTTCATCACTGTCTTCATTAGCTTTGTTGTGCTAATTTAAGATATATTTTCAGAATACACCAGATAAACCTAAATATTTTGGACTAAACAATACTGCTTGTATATTATGTAAAGAAAGTAATTATAAACACATCAGATCCACTATATTTAATACTAGTCACAAAAGTCCCTGCCGTTTGCTTAGTCAAGAAAGAAGCATAAAAACAGAGAAACAGATATGAGGCAGCATAATATGCTGTGCATGTGTTACCTAACTGTTTTCCACTTTTCCTTACAAAGGTTGTGGGAGGCTTTAATACTTTACTCAGACTGTCAAAAACTGCTAACACTTAGTAAATCGGTTCATGTCAGTGTTGGACCACAGCAAAAATCCCAGATCTGGAATTTACAACAGAGGGCAAATGCACGACTAATTATTTCTGATCGCAGCGTTTGTGTGTGATGTCTTATTCACGCCGGCCGTTCCTACGCTAACAGAAGCTGATATGAAACAGTTGTGGACCTGAGTCGTCACGACCCCCCCTGGATGACTTGTCTCCTCGTGCATCATGTCCAGCATCGACTCCTCCAAAAGCCACCCACGGCTGAGCTGTGATGTGTGGCTCATTATTTATTTATTTTTGGTTTGTTTATCCCTGGTATACAAGCTGTTACATTGGCAGGCGACAGCAAATGGTGCCGATGCATCAATCACGGCCCTGTCTGCAGGAATGGTGGCGAAATGACACGCCGTCGGGCGGGGGGGGGAGGGTGGTCACTCTCGCACCATGGGGTTCAGGGTAAAAAAAAAACATTTTTTCACCTTGCACTTGCATATAAGCAGGAGAGCAGGTGAAACACAAATATGTGCTTATTTTTTACATTTGCATTCCCAATATAAATTAAAAGAAATATAACATTTTGAGTTAAAAAGTTGGTATTTAGCCATATTTTTTTAGCTTTATTCTAAATTGTCCTATAACTGTTCATATGTAAAAATTGTTCCCCTGTATGTAGATCTGAAAAAAAACCAAATTATTAGCTGTTACTTCATTAAATCATTTATGCTGATGCAGAATTTAGAAATAGAAACAGTGATAAGTGCTTAGTCACTGAGGCTATCTGTTAGCAAACCGGTTTCTGAATGTGGAACAACATAACATTACGGTTAGATTTCATTACTAGACTCAAGTTAAGACTTCAACACAACAAAAGTGGCAATTGGGACTTCTATTCAGCTAATGCTTCACATACAATACACCGACATGTCAGATATTTTGACAAAAGCTAAAAAACAGTTTGAGCAAAAAGTAGTTGGACACACTATCTTAGCATAAACCCCTGAAATAATTAAATATCCACATAGCCCGGCTAAATATTAGGAAATGTGTCAGGATATTTGATGAAGAGAGAACTAGGACTGAAATTAATGAAAAATTAGCTTAGCAAAACACAGTTAGCCTGTCTCAGAGTAAGCCAATTAGTCATAGCCTGACTGAATGACATCAAATACGTCCACGTTTTTTTGTGAAGAGAATATTTGAACTCATGCTGAAGAATAATTGGAAATTGTCACCAAAAATTGGGTTCAAAAATTAGCATTAGCCTGTATCTGACGAAGCTAAATAATCAGCCATGTTTTCAAATATGTCCACATATGTTGTGAGGCAAATATTTGATCTCAAGCTAAAGTAGAAAAATTATTTAAACTGCTCCTGTATGTGAACATTAGAACACAATGCAGGAATGACAATCTTCTGGTTTATTTGTATTTATTTTTCTTGGGTATGATGGAAAGGTTGCCTTCACTGACTGTACAAACTATTCTTATACAGTCTATAGTGATTTACACCAAATATTTCTGACCAATATCACAAATGAGACAGGAGGATGAACCTTATTTAACTGTCTCCATCCCAAGATTTAGATTAATTCCAGTTACTATGAAATTAGCATTTTTAGAAATATGCAGATATTCATGGCAAAGCGGAAAAAAAACACGCCAAACTATTGATTTAAGCTTGGATAATGCAACTTTTATTACTTTTACCCTGGTGCTAGCCCGATTAACAAAACAGACAAATCATTTGCTACAATCCGGCAAAGAGATTCAGTCTTTCCAGATGTGCAACAGAAGCAGCTTTGTTGCTGTTCATATGGTGCAAATGCTCTCAAGCTACAGAGTCAATTGGCTGCTAATCCCTTTTCATATGGTGCAAACATGAAACACACGTGTACTTACGGTGCAATATGGGCAGATTGTCTCCTGGAATTAAATGGTGCAACTTGAGTACTGCCTTCAGTTCTCGGCCAAGGCTGTGCCAAAGGCTCCTTCTAAGTGGACAACTGCTCTTCCTGTCTTGCAGAAGCTATGCAAGTCTCCAAAGCAAGGAGATGTGCTTAGTGTACACACACACACACGCACACACACACACAATCACAATTGCATGAACACAGGGTTTTCCTCTGCAGCAGGGAGATATGAACACAGCCACATCGTGAAAAGTAGGGTAACAACATGGGATGTACCTCAGTGCTCAAACACACACACACACACACACACACACACACACACACAAACACACACACAGACCTACAATGTTGAATATTCCTTCACCCCTTTATAATTTGGGAACAATATTCTTATGGTGCTATTGAGTAAACCAGAAAGATTTTTGTATAGTTGTGGTGGCAGTCAAGAATTTAGCCAAAAATGTTTAGAGAACCTTAATGTTTTACATTCTGACTGAAATGTGTAAATCTAAGGAGTGTATGTGAAAACTGCAGCACCTTGCGTATGTGATTAAAAAAAAAAAAAAGCTACAATGCCTTATCCGCTCCATTGATGATATCTGGCTCATGGCGGGGTGGTGCTCCTTTCTGTTACACTCTGATGTGGATGTGGAAAACAGCACACTGTGTCCGCACTGCAAACCGACTACGTGCCATTTTCAGAACACGGTCAGCCATTTTCCTGTCAGTTTCACAAACCGTGCTTGTGAATTTCTTGCATGAATGTTGTAGATTTGAGGACCCGACTGCAGACGCAACGCGTTAACCAAGAGACTGCGAAATCATTTTGAGCTCCTGAGCATTCGACCCATTGGCTTATCCTCCATCATGCCCCTCCAGCCAATCAGATTTCAGGTCTAACTGCAGCCAAATCAGGTGTAAAACAACCAAATAGTACAGTTTCTTTTATACATGGAAGCCTTCATCGGAACTCGACTGCATTTTATTTTAAAAAAATCATCTATACTGAAACTGCAGTCAAGTTTCGATGCTACAAGTGAAACATTTTCTTCTTCATCTACAAAAACCACAGCCTTAGCTAGAACCCACTTTGTAAGATATTTGAATCCAGCCAGTGCTTTGTCACTTCTTGTATGGCTATTCATCGACCGCTATGCAAAGTTACAAAAAGCAGGATGGCTCTGGGCTTAGAGAACCTTTAAGAAAATACCACATCACTGTTGTTTCAGTGTTATTTTACCTTTAATTTGTTTTACCTCAGATGGATGACAGCATTTAATATGTTACAGTGTTTTTCCTTAATCAGTAAAAACCATGAATAACTCTACTGCTTTAACAGTGAAGAGGTGTCAGGTTCTCCTCCAAGTTTCACTCACTGCTTCTACATTTTGGTTTTCTCAAATAAATAAAGCCATGATGTAATAAGTCATGAGCTGGAGCCTCTCTGATACGTCTTTTTGACTGAGTGAGATATGTAAATCTTATAGCTAAATATAATAAGGGAGCACAAGGTTTCCCCCAGAAAACTTGATACTTCTGTTTTATTGAAAGATTGGAAGATTAACACCTTAACACCAACTATAATGTCTTAAAAAATGCAAACATTTTAAAAGGACTTAAATAAATAAGCAATGCCTACCCTGGTGGGGGCACAAGTAAAGCCTGGTGGCCCGCCAGGCTTATAATACACTGGGGGAATCCTGGAGCATTTGCCATAATGATGCATCCCCAAGTTTTGAATCTGTTTCCATGGCAATTTTATGAATTTATTGTTTTTGTTGTTTTTTTTGGGTTTTTTTTGTCAAGATTGATTTGTTGGGAGGGTGAAAAACTGCAATGTAACTTTTAAACGATGAGAGATGAATGCTGCCTCCTGACTGAGGAATGTCTGTCATGTTATGAAAATTTAACCATAAAGCATTTCTTCTTTTGGTTAAACACAGAAAATGTTCTGCTATCAGGGTCTATGATTTTTGCTTTGTCTTAATTTCCGCAGCCAAAGTTTTTATGTTTGATCCGTAGCTGTGAAGGTGTCATTATTCGTTATGGATTTAGAGGCTAAACTGACCTGAGTCCAGCAGACACTGAAACCTTTTACTGTTTTTTAAACAAACTCTCAGAATCAATCATAGCGTGAAAAAGATTTCAGATGTTTGACTCAGGTTTGGTACTACCAACACAGAGCAGGGTCAAACTAAATGTTCACTTGGATGTATCTATAAGACCATAAGCTTTTAATTTCGTCAGGGTCATGCTTTTTTAATGTTATAGAAATTTGATGTGCAAAAGTAGCATTTATTTTCTCGTGGTTGGCATTTGGATTGTAAATAACTACTTCTAGCTCTCCTCAGTTGTATCAATGTTCCATTAGTTTGCGTAAATGGTTCTTTCAAGTGTAACTGATGGTAAATGTTCTTAAAGAATATACAGAATGTAAGGTCAAAGTAAGAAAAAAAATACAGTTCAACAAGTGGTTTCTTAGGAACCTGTGCCATCTGTGTCGTCTCTAGTATAAGCACACACTGATATTAGAACTGTAGGTGAATAAAAGTTATGGCCAGACAGCCATAGCCATGGTATGAAAGCACCTTTTCCAAGTCAGGGCAAAAATTTGTTTGGAATATTAGCATAAAATCATTAGCATGTGTAAAAACGGGTTAACTAAATAACCAAATCATGTCTGAACATTGTGAAATATGTCCACATATTTGTGGGGAGAGTATCTGAACTCAAGCTAATGAACAATCAAACCCTGAGGGAACATTTGGCGCAAACATTAGCTTAGCATACAACTGTTAGCTTCTCTCTGTCCAGGGTGTTTCAATATAGCTTGGCTGAATGTTATGAAATATGTCCACATCTATTTGATATCAAATATGTGCACATATTTGGAAAGAGGAATAGTTAGACTCAAGCTAATAAACAATTTGATACTTAAACAAAAATCACTTTGAAACTTTAGCTTAGCACAAAACTGCTAGCCTGATTCCAAATAGCAACGTAGCCTGTTAGCAAATTTGATTAGAACATTTGGACTAAAGCTAATAAACAATTATACATTTGAGCAAAAAAAAAAAAAAAATATATATATATATATATATATATATATATATATATATATATATATATATATATATATATATATATATTGTTTGACACGTTAGCTTAATATAAAACCATCAGAATGTCTTCATATTAATCCATTTGAATACAATAATCAACAGTTTGGCACTGGAAAAATTAGCTCAGCATTTACTTAGCCGCCTGATTCGGCTAAATAAATGGCTGAATGTTACCAAATATGTGAACATTTAAGAGATTATTTTTAACTCTGCTAATAAATAGTTCAACACTTGGAAAATATTAATGTGAGAGTGGGCTGTCTGGCCTCTTCTGAATTCAGTGTAAAAAAGATGGCTACCGTCATCGAATGTGTTCAAACTGCTCCTGCGTCAGCACATCAGAACACCATTCAGGAATATTCTAATTTATTTCTTATCCTTTTCTTTGGTAGGTTAGAAGAGTTGGATCCATAGACTGTATAGTTTATGGTTGCCTTTAATTTACACCAAATATTTCTGACCAATCACAAATGAGACGGGAGAGAGGACAGATTATGGCGTCTCTGGTTTTAGTCTGTCTGTTCTGTGTCCACTATGGTGTTGCGGCATTCTGGGGAAGAGTTGAAAAATATTTTTTTGATGGCTCCAGGAGGCCAACGTTAGGAAATGTGTTATTTTTGTTACAATACCTCCTGAAAATAAAAATCTATTTATCTGTGAAGAGACAAAGATTTACAGTGATACAGATGACTACATAGAGATGATTTTAAACGAGATAAAAGATATGTACAGCTGATTTGAACACAATACAGAGATCTATTGTCAGTATTGAGTTTGATTTTATATATTTGCCATTTTATTACGTTGTAATGTTGTGACTGCAATGGAGAAAAAAAATACAAAGGGATATAAATTAATTTTTCCAAACGTGTGTTGCACTTTTTTCACTGAACACAACACAAAGATTCAAGTAATAAATCACATTTATTTAAAAAAAAATCTCTTTACAGGCAGGTATAATACCAAAATATTTTCCTTTCTAAAAGCAGTAACAAATATTGGTGCAAAGGTGAAGCTCTGTCATGACATTTACATATAAGATTGTCATAAAGTCACTTTTGAAATATATTAAATCAAAAAATGAATATTTGGAATTTTTATGGTAAAAATGAATTATTGATAGCCCTGGTAAATATGTACAAAAAGTCAAAAAATTTAAAAAAATGTTCTGTTGCATAATCTCATATTGCATTCTTGAGAACAAACAAAACAAAACAAAAAAAAAAACAGAACAATAAAATAGTTTTGACCAAAACGCCACTGTAAAACTACCAAATGAAACTCTTAAAATTGTCTATAAAATAAATTTAACTGAAGCACTTTTATAATCTTTTTTTTAAATAATCCTCTATTACTTCCTGTATCCATCAGAAATAATATTGCAGTTTTGTAGTGTCCCATTTTTCTTTTCTTCTCTTCAAAATAGTAAAGACAAGAAAATATGTCAATCAAATATTGGAGAAAAAATAATTAGTCAGAATAATAAGGTTTAAAACAATGAGTAAAGTATTTTAAGGTTTTGTACTCATCTTTTCCAGGGGTGTCAATAATTAAGGAGAGGGATTTAAAAATAAATGTAACAAAATATCCTAAGAATGTCCAAAACATGAACTCATTTATTCAAATCTTCTGTTTTAGTAACCAGATATCCTCTTGCACATACATTGATGAAGAAAAAAACATTGATATTATTTATACAACTACATATATGATTGAGGATCCATGCAAGTCGTACAGCAAAAGGTATGAGATATTCAATATAGCGGTTTCTGAAACATAATCCAAAATCAGGAACGCACAAGAGAAAACTCATCTTCTATTTCTTTCACTTTCAAAGACTTATTCATCCATACATTACGTAATTTGAAACTATATTAATGAAATCAAGCACAGTGATTCCCTACTATCTTTGTAGGGTTTCCAGTAGATATGTTTGATCTGAAAATAAGAACATCTACACGTTTTTTGCGCTTTAAGCAGCAACAATTCACAGTTTTTGATCCCTGTAAAACAGTCCACTGCCCCTTATTAAGGGAACCAGACTTCATCAAGTTTTAACCAAAAATCAGAAAGGAAGCCAATGACAAAATCTTCCTTGGTATTATTTATATGACTAACTTGCAAAGAAGCCCACCATGATGCTATTTTGATTTCAGCAAGGAAGACCATTAGTAGTCGTACATCTCTTAACTTTTAGTGCAATTGCTTTTAAAATAAAATAAAAAACAAATGAAAAAAAATATATATTTTTAACTGACAAGCTTTAAGGTGGTAAATAAACAGGGTTAATCATAAGCCACTGGCTCCCTCTGCTGGCAAAAAATAGAACCCACATGTCCAAATCAATGGCGCTCACATTGAAAGTAACCTGAAAAGCCTGATAAATGTCAATGAAGTACATCTGGGTCTGTCTTTTATCCCATTATCCAAATCAAACAAACAGTATCCACTGTAACAGCAGTTCTTGCTCCACTTCATACCGAGTGAAGCAAACCTGAGGGATTTCTCCTTGTATCTAATGAAGTGAAACAACATGGGAGGAGAAAACAAAACAAGGTGCACTAAGAGAAGCACAAGCAGATCACTCAGCAGTTCATGGGATCAAAGGTTCGTCATCGTCACAAAGAAAGTCCAACCTCTGGAAAGGCCTGGGGTCTGAGCTACGACGAGTACCCATGCACCTGAAAAGAACTGCACAGAAACAAGTCTGGTTAGCTTTTCATCAGATTTAATCTGTACCAAAAATCCTTCCAGGATCCCAGATCATTCAGACTTACCAGTGATGACAGTGAGCAGCAGCAAGACACCCACCACCAGACCGATCACCAAAGCCATGTCCCAGCAGGTCTCGCCGGCCAGCAGACATCGAGCCCTGGTCAAAGAGCCGTTGTTGGGCTGCGCCGGCACCGACAGCAGCCGGCACATGAGCGGGTAAACATCCACGCTCTCTAAACTCTTCAACCGGAGACCTTGATGGAAGCCGGGACCCGTCGCTGCCAGGAAGGGGTGCATGCTGGGCAGCGAGTTGTCGTACCCATGATCACCCACTGCAGGAGGGGAGTACCAACAATCACATCTGGGAAAGTTAATATCCAGTCATCACTGGGATGGAGACTGGAATCCTAATGTTAGGCTGACTTATCCATTGATAAAGCAGTTTGGATACGTGTTATGAAGCGCTGTCCCGTTTCAACATCCAAATGGCCTCCGTCTAGGAGTTAGTTCAGTAAAACACTTTATTTGAAGCAGTACGACTGACATTACATGAACGTTTACTGAAAGACATTTCATGACAACATTCATGAAGACTCCTTCAGGTTCATGGCAGTGTTAAGTCAGTCTTATGCACACCCCTTCAAATAAAGTGTTGCCATTTCTTCTATGTGGAACGCACCAGCATGCTTGTTGACAGTTGCTACAGTGTTTCTAGCTTTGAAAGCCATCACTTACGTCTTGGTAGCTTGTTTCCCTGCTTCACTATGGTCCAGCCTTCATCAGCAATTAGTAGGATTGGCTGGATGCGTACATTGTTCCGATAGTGAAGCCTATCCGGGATGGATTTCTTCATGTACGCCGTCATGCGAGGATGGCACTTACTCAGCAAACTGAAGACACTGTCTGAGTCTGTGAAGGAAAACAGGCAGAGGGAGGCTGTAGAAGAGGGAGAGCACTGAACCCGACACTGCGTCATGTCAGCCTGGGTACCGTTTTTGGGAATGAGAGCGGCGACCGGCGTCAGGTCCACCAGAGTGTAGTTGTCAGGGTGGAGGCAGTCGTCCAACCGTATGAGGTGCTCGGCGGAGCACTGCGCCATGCCGTGGTCGCTGGTCACTATGAGGTTGATGCGACCCCAAAGGCCTCTCTTCTTCAGCTCAGACATCAGCAGGCCAATGTTGTCGTCAACCTGGTGGAAGAAAGTTCCAGATTAGCTAAAGGACATTATTATTTCCACTAAGACTTTTAGCATATACTTACATAATTGGCATAAACATCATTCGTTTGGAGGCTTCCAATGGTTTAGTTGACACAATTATGCAAACAAACTCAAATATATACATACAACCCCACTAATATGTGGATAAATGTTCTTTGGCACAAGAACACAAGCTTCTGGCATAATTCTGGGTGGTGGACATTTTACCTCTGGAAAGAGTTCACTTTAAATTAAATGAGACTCAATCAAGGCGTTTTTAAATTTGCTCTCTGTCTTGTTAGAACACCTCATTGTGACCAAGTTCCCACCATCCAACCAAAACTATCAGTTTCAGGTGGAAGGAGACTGACGAGGATGTTGAGAAGAACTGGACTTTTGGAGAAAGGGTTTATGATCAGCTATTAAGTTTTGCAACCAATGATACTAATGTATTTGATAGTCATTCTTATGTTTGATGATTTTTGAAGAGTGTAGGTTAGCTTCCGATTGGATCGTTAAGATTCTGATGAAACAGTAACAGTGCAGGTGCCAAATACTAAAGTTTGAGGAAATGACTGCACCTCCTTTAGTACTTTAGTCATTGCTGTGGTGTTTTCCGGACCAAACGCATGACCTGACCGGTCCGGCTCCTCCCAGTAAAGAGTCGCGAACATCGCTCCTGGCTCCTGATGAAAGAGGAAGAACGTAGGAATGTCACACGACTGCAACTGACTCCTTGAGACTTCTCAGTTACACATTAAGGAGACCGTCTTCACCTTCCCGTCTCCTAATATCCAGTCTGTCACATTCCCCAGGCGCTGCTGGAACGTCACTGCTGGGTTGTACGGGAAGAAGTGCGTAGGCGTGCGGTTGGTCACGTCAGAGCCGGGCCACATGGCGGACGCTGTCTTGTAGCCGGAGTCCTTCGCTGTGAGCCACAGGGGCTTTGCCGCGCTCCACCACATGGGGTCGCTGTCGTTCTGGAGGGTGAACTGCTTGTGGCTGATGGGGTCGTACATGCTACTGGCCAGGATCCCGTGAGATTCTGCATACAGCCCGGTCACCTGGACAGGTAATTCATTCTTATATTGTCAGATTCTGTTGCATTACAACTGATTACAAAGATGGTATGAAAACTGTAAAAAAAAAGTACTTTGGATACATTTGTGTATAACTTGCTTACCAGGCTGTAGTGGTTGGGAAATGTTTTGGTGATGAAGACGTTGGTGAGTTGGTCCACCAGGACCCCCTGGCTGTACAGGAGCTTCAGGTTAGGCATGGGGAACCTGTCCAGGTAATCGGCCCGGAAGCCGTCGAACGACACCAGCAGCAGCGGCAGAGTCTGCTGGGTTGTGTCGTTTTCAGCCGCCAAAGCACTGACGCCCCACAGGAAGCCCAACAGCATTCTGGGAAACATCCTGAAGCCAAGGAGGCAAAAGAAATAGTGAAACATGTAGGTAGGGGTGTAACAATTTCACATCCCCAAAAACCTTTTTTTTTTTTCAGACTTTCATTTTTGTCACCTGAAATGAAACAAATAACTGCAAACCTGACTGAGACTGAAGAGTAAGATGGACAACTAGTTTTTCAAAACAATAAATGCCTTTCTAATACTCAAAATATCATCAAGAGTAGTCAGGAGTTTAGGGAAAATATCACACACTTGAAATGCAGAGCAACACTAGCAAAGAGAAAACTAGTTATTGAATTATTTGTAAAATGCTGGATCAAAAAAGTAAACCAAAAATTACCAACCAGAGCCGACTATTTCTATCGCAAGCTAAACCCAATGAAAGGTGCAAGAAACTGAAACTCAACCCAAAAATGTCCCAGAAAAAACAAAACCCCACTTCCTCCTTTTGACAGCAACATGTTTTATTTCTCGAGCAGCCAGGATCGCTTAAATTGGTGCAAATTTGAAGAAAATTGGATTAAGTAAAAGAACAGTTATGATCCACCTGAAGAGCAGCCAGAATGTGCTGCTTCCTCACGCCGCGCTCATTTGGTTTAATCGAATCACTTTACTGCTAAATTGTTTTTGAAACTGTAATCTGATATTTTATGTTTAAAACAACACATCTGCAGGAATCCCAACTATATTTGATGGATGGAGAAAATAAAGCTGTCACGCAGCAAAATTAGTTTCTAAAATCGACAGAACTTTGAACAATAGTCGGTACGATGGAGGATTGGTGATGGTGTGGGATTTTAGAAGAAACTTCTGGTATCAGCTAAATAGACAGACTTTCTGCATAATTTTGAGCTTTCCTTAAGGCACTCATGACCTTTGACCTTAGTTTGGTGCTGACCAACACAAAGTCCAGGAACACACCATCTTCATTGTGACAAATGGCGGTGTAGGGGATTGCTTTTCTCCAGAGAAGCTGACCCGAGTTGATGGGAAGATGGGAGGAAATAAATCCAGGGCAAAACTGGAAAGTAATGAGCCACACCTTGCAGAAGTATATCCCTAAACATTCAGCTAGAGCTATATAGTTCAGAACAAAACATTTATTTGCTAGAATGGCCCAAAGTCCAAACTTATTGCCATTGGAAAATATGTGGCAAAACTTGTAAATTGACACATTTAATCTCCATTGAAGAGCTGGAGCTCCTCTGCAAGTGTTGCTTTGCTGTTATGCGATACATTTGCAAGGCACTTTACAAATGGACAGGAAACGTGAATAAGCACAACCAGGAAGTCGCCGCTCAAACTGTACTACACCAAAACGCGACCCACTGTAATCAGCATTCTGAAGGAATTAGAGAAATATTATCACAATTACAACAATGCCACATTAACACACTAAACGCGGTTTTACTTTGACTACAAGCTGCACTTAAACCAACAGCTTTAAAGCTGATTAACGTGTTTACTTCGTCGTTTAACGCTAACAGTTAGTAATGTTATTTTACCTGTTTTTAGGCTTGCAGATAGTCCCCCTCCGGACTCTTAGTAACCTTGAACAAACTCGACACGGACTATTTTCGCACTGACATCCTCATTAGACCTCAAACAACACAAAGACTGACAGGCTGAGTGACCAAAAGCCAGCGCTACTTTTACGAGTTTCCCGTCAAGAATTTCAAAATAAAATCTTCTAGGGTCGCACCCGTGTTCCAGAAAAGTAACTCCGACATTTTCTCTGCTTAAACTAAAACTAAAGCGGCTCGGACTGTAGAAAATCGGCACAAAGCTGTACACATTCTAATAATATCACACATTTGTAGATTTTTAAAACATATTGGTTTTATTTTATAAACGGAACAGACTTGACTTGAAGAAAATTGACAGTTTACGCAGCCAGACAGCGTAGATTTCAACAACAGTCGTTTTTCTACGTAGTATGGAAAGAAAAATAATAATTAAAAAAGCTAAATGTGCACAATTTACAAATATTGTCTTTTTACTACTTTTATATTCATGATGTTTCTGCTTAGGAAAGCATCCCCACAGCATGATGCTGCAATCACCATGTTTTAACAAGGGGATAGTGTGGTTAGGAAGACGTGGACTCAAGGTTTTTTTCCAGAGCTCCTTCATCTGCATCTGCAGCTGCCTTGTTAGCTTTTCCCACATGAGTTACGGATCTCTACAGCTCTTCCAGAGTTACCTATGGCTTCTTGGCCCCTACAGAAACCACAACGGCAGGTTACGAAATATTACATATTTGGGATCTCTGTAGATTGATTGTCCTACTATTTTGAAACAGTTTAATGTTAATGTTGCTCCTGATTATGTCAGGTAAGATAGCGGCCCTCTTTCATTGGGATTGCCTTAAGCCATGCCTGTCCAAAGTCCTGGGTTGCTCTTTGATAAGATAGTCCCACATGGGATAACAGCACCTCTGCTGTGCCCTGACTCACAGACTGTTTGACTTGTTCAACCAGGATGGATCCCTCCAAAGAGAATGTCTATGACAGACCAGAAAATGGGAGCAGTGATTCTGAGCCGGAGCACTCTTACCAGAATCAGTCATCAGGTATGTATGACTTGACCGACCCGGTCAACCAGACAGAGCAAACCTATCAGAACCAATCGGATGATACCTACGAGGTGGTCAATGAGGCAACTTATGAAGAACCTTCAGAAGTAGAGCATTCCTACCAGATTCAATTGGATGGTACATATGAAGAGGCCAATGTGGCAACTTATGAAGAGCTTTCAGAAGTAGAGTCGTCCTACCAGAATCAGTCTTCAGGTATCTATGAAATGCCCAATGAAGAACCTGCAGATCAGACTCCAGAGTACGAGAACACCAGAGCTGCTGAAGATGGAGCATCGACTCCAAAGTCTCCGTCCCCAGAGCAGTCTCCTGCAGAGGAGAGACGAGGCAGTTCATCTTCAGTCTCCTCATCCTCATCCTCATCCTCATCGCATGCCGAGACCGAACACAAAGAGGAGATGCAGGATCACAAAACGAGTGAGATGGAAGAAGAGGAAGAAAAACAGAGCGAGGATGAGGAAATAGAGGCAAAGGAAGAGAGGGAAGTGGTGGAAGAGGAAAGCATCCCCAAGATGAACTCGGATGGGGGTTCACCAGAGATGGAAGTGGAGAGGAAGAGGTCACTGGACAGATCTTCTTCGTCTTCGTCTTCTTCTTTATCGTCATTGGCCTCTGAGAAGAAGGAGCCCGTGAATGAGAAAGATGAACCAAAAATCTGCCTTTTTGCAAGGGTAAGAAAGACATTTTGATTGTATGCAAAGACACACAAATTTCTAGGTTACTCCAGCAATCAATCTGTTCGAGAGTTTTTAGAAGAAAAACATTAAGCAGAAGATTTGCAAGGTCATAACTGCAAATTCCTCATATCTCTGTGTACAAATAGTCATTGAATGTGATAAGTCTATACCTGCCTGATTGGACCCTTTAATCATGGCGCCATCATGCAAAGTCATTGCTGTGTTTGTGTTGTGGAGAGGAGGGAGGCATTACACTGTTTCTAAATATAAGTTAAGTTGAACTGACAAGAATGTTCAGACTCAGGGGTCAAAGGGTTCCAGGGCAGTTCCTGCCACTCGGCCTTGGGAATACGAGTTATCTATCTGTCCAGCAACACATGCAGAGGCAATTATTACATTATTACATAATCTGCTAATTCCACTCAAAAGTCCAGCTGCAGTGGAAAAGTGTTATACTTTGACATTAATTATGGCAAGATAGCTGAGAGGACATTGTGGTTGAACCAATGCCTGCTGTGAGAAAGATTAAAAGATCTTTCTCACATGTCTAATCTTGAACTGCTATACCTTGAGAAATGACTAGATTAGATTAGCTGTGACCACAGACTACGTAATCTCTGGTTGGATAAACACTACTTACTTAGTTGACAGATCTTATTAATTAAAGAATATCTGATATCAACAAGTAGTAACTTTATAAGCTATGTTGATGAAACTGGAGTTTTATCCCAATAATTAATGACTAGATAACAACTTTGCACTAGCTAAAGACTTAGCATTAGCACTGAACACAAACACGCCGCTGTTGAGAATTTAGATGCATATTAAGTAATCTACATGTTGGTGAATTTCTCTGTTTTACAGTTTTAATAGAACAAATTTAAATGAGATGCTTCCAGACCGTTTATACTTTTTGGATGATTTTTAATTTGCCTCATGGTTCACCGTCTAAACATCAGACAACAAATACTTTACCGGAGTATTACACATTTTTGTTTTTGGTTGAAACAGACCACACCTGGGCATTTCAGCAAGATAATTTTCTGAAAGAGGCGAGGTCTTTGGACTTTGTACAAAATATATATATATCTATTCCACACTAAAGGATAATAAATATGGTATGTTTCATGCTGCCAGCTATACTATCAGAGCCTTAAAGTCATTTTTCAGTGATGTTACTGATAAATCTATCATAAAGAAAACAATCTCATAATTAACTGTGATAAAGGTGGTAAAAAGAACCTAAACTTGATTATTATTAGGGATAACTTCAGTTAATTTTGAAAACAACTGATTGCACTAGATGGATGATTTTATTTGCAAAAACTATAATGATACAAGAAAATATATGGCTGTAAACTGAGCTGGACTTGGATGCTTCAGTTGAAATGTTTCGGTTTCATCAAGCTGCTAGTCAACACCAAATAAGAAGCTCCAGACAGCATATGATTCTCAGAAGGTGACTCTCAGTGATTCAGAGTCACACAGTTATGACTCAAAGCCGCAGAAGCGGGAAAAGTGGATCCCTCTTTCCTCTCCACGTCACTCCCCAGGCTTGTTTGCCAGTGTGGGGTTATTTTTGCCTGACAGCGTCACGCCTTGCAGCTGAATCCCAGGGTACGAACTGCACCCCTACACACTGACCCGTCCCACCACACACTCTCTCTGTCCTTGTCACACTCCCTGGCATTCGTCCCCGGCTGATCCTCTCACAGAGCTGCCATGGGACAGAGCGGACCGCGCCGAATGGACCTGGATTAGAGTCTGCTGAAAACTGATCCTGCTAACGATTGCACAGGGGGGAAAAAAAAAAGTCAATTTTTTTGAACAGTGGGTTTTTCTTGACCATGACGGATACTGTAACCGAGGAGGAGAAGGACCCTGATATTGAATTATTTGTTAAGGTGGGCACTTTCTGTATAGTATTTTTTTCTGCAGACAGAAAAACAAACAAAAAAAACACACCAAGAAATATGTGTACACCATGCTACACTTTATAGCAACTAAAACAAGCTATCAGCAGTGTGTTCAGTGCAGCTCCTTTAAGAGCGTGCATGCCATGTTGCTGTTGTTGTTGGGTGCTGATTTTCCATGTGTTAACCTGACACCGACCTGCATTCGTGTATTGACAATCTCTTTCTTTCTCTGCCCCACTGAATTATTACTGGACTCTTTTCAGCATCGCGAGTAAAAACCTTTGAATGGCTTCAAAAAATGACCCGGTTAATGTTAGGATGATTTAACTTTCTGTCTGTTGCACAGAAAGCTTCTTTGTTTGTAAGTACAGATGATAAATGTGAAGCAGTTTTCAACATCAGATCTGTTGGGGAATGTGTCTTTGAATATTCAAATATGGCTAAATATTTGCTCAATCATGTAGTTATCTGAAACTCTTGAAAATGTTCTTTTATTAATGTCAAATTCTCACTTTTTTTTTTTAGCCTTTAGCAACTCTTTGTTGATTACTTTAAATGTTTTGTGTAATAAAGTTTATTTTACACAAACAGATATTGTGCAACTGATTTAAATAGCCTATTAATTTTGCTAACCTGTTTAAAATAGAAGTTATATAAGCTAGGTCTCTGCTTCTTTACGCAAAGTAAACAATATATAAGCATAGCAGAAGAAAACTTGAGGCATTTTCTTGGGCTTACACACGTATAATGACAGGATAAAACTGATTTCAGTGGCTAAAGTGCTTAGCATGGTGCTAGCGTGTTAAAACCAGAGGTTCAAATGGGCAGTGAGGCGGTTAATGGAAGCTGTGTGGATTATTCATGGTGGACCTTGTATCTCATTACACTACAGTGTCCAGTTGCAGACACACAAACAATCCCAGCACATGTGAACTGAAGACACCTTTTACAAAATGTCCAACTTACAAGCAGTTTGCTGTTGAATGTGTAGCAAGACAGAAATTTCAGGGCAGGGCTTTGTTACGTCAGAGGTATCCAGACACTGCACCGTTCTTGAACTAACTGGACTAGAGTTGAGGATTTTGAAGGGTGTCTCAAAATATTTGGTAACAAATAATGTCATAATTATACAAAATATCCCAGTGGTGCGACATGTTTTGTGCTGTGTAATCTATGCATAACTGAGATTCATAAACAAATATTGCCTTTATGAATCTCTTTAGTAAGTTGTTGTTCTTCTGTTGTTTCATATTAACGTGTGTGTGTGTGTGTGTGTGTTTGCAGGCTGGGAGTGATGGTGAGAGCATCGGAAACTGTCCTTTCTCCCAACGTCTCTTCATGATCCTTTGGCTGAAGGGAGTAGTCTTTAACGTCACTACCGTCGATTTAAAAAGGTGAACGCGTCGGCTTCTACAGCGTATTTTTGCAGTAAATCATCAGAAAACCATTTGCTAACATCTGGAGCTGCCATGCAAAGCTCATGCACATCTGGAGATCCGAAAGGCGAATCGGGGACATAGTTTCCTGCAATGAATTGCCAGTCACATCAGGGACTTTGATTCAAGAATCATTAAATGAAATGTTAGAAAATAGGCATACATATCTCGTTTTGCTTTCTTTGCTGTCAAATCGATTAAACTTAGAATAGTGAAGCGGAAAGAAGATTGAATTTATTGTCTTTTACAAATAAAAATCTGAAAGTGCGACGTGCATTTTCATCAAATGTATCGACTAAATTGTTTATTCTTGATCAGGAAACCAGCTGATCTTCACAACCTCGCCCCAGGAACACATCCACCATTCCTTACCTTCGAGGGGAACGTTCTTACAGATGTCAACAAGATAGAAGAGTACCTGGAGGAGATGCTGGGTCCACCCAAGTAGGCCTCACAAACTTAAACACTAAATGGGAACAAACAGCATCCTGACTGCTGCACATCTGCCGTTCAGGTATCCCAGGCTTGCAACAAAGAACCGTGAATCCAATGTTGCAGGAAACGACATCTTTGCCAGGTTCTCAGCTTACGTCAAGAACACAAGACCGGAGAAAAATCGCTGTGAGTACACCAGTTATGCTGAACCTAACGATTGTCATTAAGAATATGTAAAATAAAAAAAACACCCCTCTTAAAATTCAAGGTTTTCAAAAAAAAAAAAAACTAAGAACATTTTTCACCTGGATTGTGACAAACAGTGACGGAAATGTAAAAAGTAAAAACAAAAAAGCACATTCTTAAACAAAAGCCTTTGTTTAAGACCTTTTTCTAGTCTTCTTTGCTAGCAGTTTGTTGACATCCCGTATAATGACTCGGACAGACAATTATGAATCATTCAGATAAATAGTAAAACAATTTTCTGTCACATTGAAGGTGGAAAAAAGTTTGGAAATCGTCTTACACTGTGTTACCGTTTGTTTTATGTGTCTAAGCTTTGGAGAAGAGTCTGAACAAAGCCCTGGCGAAACTGGACGAGTATTTAATGCGGCCGATTCCTGATGAGGTTCAATCTGGACGGCACAGCGGCGAAGGCCCGTCCACCCGCAAATATCTGGACGGCGACGAACTGACGCTTGCTGACTGCAACCTTCTACCCAAGCTCCATGTTGTTAAGGTATACTGCCTTCTCCGTTTATCTTCGTCCCCATCGTCTCCAAATCCTGCTCGCTTTAATTATTTGCTCTTGACAGGTGGTTGCAAAGAAATACAGGAAATATGACATCCCTTCTGAATTCAAGGGGGTGTGGCGTTACCTTGACAACGCCTACAAGCGAGACGAGTTCACCAACACATGTGCAGCAGATGTGGAGATCGAGCTAGCCTACCAGGCTGTGGCCAAGAGGCTGGAAAAATGAAGCAACAGCTAATAACTTCCAGTTATAAAGAACATTACATCTGCTCCTTACTTGTGATTTAACATTTTCATGACTTATTTGTAAATATATCTCAATCTAGTAGTTCCTCTGAGTCGAAATGTGTATTAAAACAAGAACAAAAGAACTTAGCATATTCACAACAGATGAAGCCAATGATACTAGCATCTTGGTTCCATCTAAATGCTAATGAAAAAGATAACATAGCATTGGAAGCTAATTAATATTTATTAACAATACATGGATTTGTTGTGATTTTTCTTCAAAAATAAAGAATATATGAATAGTTATTTTCAAACAGCATACAGAACACAAGTTAACATAATTAGCTATCTTGCTAAAGCTAACATGACATTAGCATTTAAGCTGAGTGGATTGACAAGATTAAATATTATTTTTAAGCAATTTTCAGAAATCCCCCAGATATTTTATTGCATTAACTTATCATTATTTCATTTACCTTTGGGATCAAAAAGGTATTTTTGAAATTGAAATTGAAATATTTGCTAAATGCCAGAATAATATTATTTTTTATTTTTTCAAACGTTCACAAACACTTGACTAGTGACTAGTGAGGGCCTGGTGCGGCTCACAAGATACATGCTATCATAAGAAAAGAACATTATGTGGATTATTTTCAGCAGAAATATGAGTGGACTGTTCACTTTTGTGGCGATACAAAACAACGGTAAAGGTGACAAAGTGCTAAATATTTCAGAAATCTTCTATCAAAATTAAAATGAGCGTAAGCTTTTTTTCCCCAAAAACATTTGATCAGAAGTTTAGTTGTCACTTTAGGAAACAAGATCAGTGAAAACGACATTATCTCTTTGCAGAACCTGACAGCTTTCAGTAACTTATTAGCAGTGACAATGCAGAAAAAGAAAGAAATTTAAATATGTGTTTAAGCCAAAGTAGTGGAAGCTATGGTAGCTTTGCTATCCTATTGCATGTCCTTTACCCCATTTTCCATTTAGTTAGAACCACTCAGTTACAGCTCTCGCTGATACCCTTATCTCAAAATGTCAGATGGACTTTCCATCATTACGTATCACCATTTTGAAGCAACAACCACACTGTTAATGTATTACGAAGAAGAATGGGATTATTAAGTGAATGAAGCTTTTGAATATACTCTGTCTTGTCATTTAAATAGATTTAGGATTTAGAGCGCAGTGTTGGTAGCGATGTATTCTGATCTCAAGTGCCTTAGTGGGAAACAAGCTCACCTCTACTGTACCTTCAGCTTTTTATATCTGTACAGTACATTTTGTGTGTTTTTAATTTATTCAGAATGATTTTCCACATTGGATTTATCATAATATATAGAGCTGTGTGATGACTAAACATACTATAAGGTATAGCTTAAGATTTTGAAATAGAAATGATATATATACATCATGAGCTTCTTCTGTATTCATGTTCTTTCTAATGATTAGAATTGTGAACCTGCTGTGTTTACCGTTCTCCTTATTTGGATAATAAAACTATTTTCACAGACTGAGCATGAGAATTGTTGTTGTTGTTGTTGTTGTTGTGTTGTGTAAATAAGTGAGAGAGGGAGAGAAAGAGAGAGAAAGTCTATGTAGACTTCTTTAACAGTTCCTTTCCACTTTATTTTCCCTTTTCAACTTACATTTACAAATATATTTTTAAACATTTTATAAAGTCGCATTATTTTACTTATTTATTTATTTCCAGGGGAATTGCTGAGTCACAAGTTCTATAAACCATGATGAGAAATAACAAAGACCGGTGCCGTAAAATGTGACAGCATTGTTTATTGTCTAACAACCGCAGTACCGGCAGATGACCAGCAGATGGCAGTAAACACAAAGTATTTGTCTTTCGTTGCAGAAACTCCATTAGGGACCGTCTTCCATTTCTGCATCAAAAAAGAAATACAATCTCGCTTTGTTCTATATTTAAGGTTCATGCTGTACATTATTTAATATTAATTAAAAATAATACATTTAAAATTACATTTCAAAATACCAGAAAAGTGAAAGGAGATGATTCACTATTATGATAAATAACACGTTTCTGATTTGGCACTAAAATTTAAGCTATAGATTTAGCCCAGTAAAAGTTGACTTGCTTAATTACAGAATACCTGCCTCTAACATAAGTTTTTGCACTAATTTAAGTGATGCATTATTGATATTTTTAGCTGTAAAAATTGTTCGGTGCTAGAATTTTTCAGATTTTAGATAACTTTAACAAAATTGAAACATTCAATTTAGAAAAAAAGCCTCTTTATCGTACATAATGCTGTAAGTATTGTTTAACTTCTGCACATGATAAAATTGCAGTCACTGACTGTTGTGTGCAGAAATCTATTTATCACCATAGTCACCACAGATACCATCCTTCTGATGAAAAGAGATGATTTGCATACTTAGACTGTCAAAATAATTTCCTTTTTTTTCTGCATGTTTGAAAACAATTGCCTGCTTCTAAAAGCTATGCTTATTTTATATAGCTACTTAGCATGCAAATGAATTAAGTGGCTGGTTAGAATCCCCGGTAACACTTTATTTGAAGGGGGTTGAATAAGACTGACATGACACCTGTCATGAACATGAATTAGCCTTCATGAATATTTATGACTGTTGTCATAAAGCGTCATTCGGTAAATTATGACATTTTTAATACAAAGTTGACATTATTCAAAATGTCTTTGTTATGACAACTTGACATTAACCAGGAAATCATTACTGTTTAAACTTTACCTTTAATAACATAAAGTTACCTAATTTTTAAAGTGCAATCAGTAATACTTTTATAACAAATTTACATCAGTAATGATATAATGTGGGGGCACAAATGAAAAGATGCACAGGGTCCCAAAAAGGCTTGGGTCACCCCTATATGCACATCAGGGTGTCAAACTCATTTTCATTTTGGGCCAAATAAAAAATCTTAATGTTTACAGGGCCTGTTGTGCCAGAATGTATTGATAAACTATTAAAATGTCAATAAATAGTTGCTTGTTTCAGCATTCAGTAAGTGTTTCTTTAAATTAAATAATATTGAACATCTTTTCACACTGGTCAGGATTTTGTGATTGTTTTTGTGTTTTTGGGGGGGCGGGTGGGTTTGTATTTTTGGCAATGAAATTCACAGATTTGGTGTTACTAATTTAGAAATATTTGTAAGGAGTTTTTATGATGTTTGTGGTATTTTACCCCCGGACCTTGAGTTGAACACATGGAGTATTATACTATAGTATAGTCGTGTTTTACGTTTTTTGGGGGAACTGGTAAAACTCAGACGGTGTCTAACTCTGTGATTGGGCAGAGCTAACACAGGTGGGAGGGGGAACCAGTACGCTGAGCCTGCCTGAGATCCAATCTCCCCAGACCTCTCCGCAAGCACGGACGTGTTCTCCTTGTTCCTCTCTGATCTTTTAACTCTCCCTTCTTCCTTTCTAGCAACACCGAGGCGGTTGTGGATGAATTTGCTTCAAAGGTAAGCTTTCTTTTTGTCAGCTGAAAGCCATGGCGGGCATTGTTATGTTTTTTTTTTTTTTGCCCTGACTGCTGCTGCTGGTGTTAAAGGAGGCGCAGTGTTTTAGCCGCGCGCGCGAGCTCGGGAGTGGGCGACTTGTCATTGCGGTGATGCGTGTTTTGTTGGTGGTCGACCGAGACGGTACAAAACGGCAAGCCTGCTGTAGCTGGAACCCGTCGTAGCTCAAATTTGTGGAGTAAATGAGGAGAAATGGGTCGGTAAAATGAACAAAGTAGCTAACGGTTATTTAGCCATTTATGGAATGAGGACGTAAGTCGCTGCGGCGAGCTTGGGATCCCATTGTTATGAGACGACCGTCTCAGCTAGCTTAACATCAAACTACAATATCGTTAGAAACGCACTGTCGGCGCAGGGTGCAGAGTGTTTAATTATAACTGAATGCTCGGACTGTTTCAGGCAATGTGGTTTTCATACCAGCAGTCTGTAATTCACAACAAGTGCTCGAAGCTGCGTTTTGAAGCAGGTCCACCTGTGTTTGACAGGTTTTCAACAAACTGGTGGAGACGGGATCGTTAACATATCGCTGTGCCTCAAAGGCGACCTTTCTGTCCCCATATCGTTGCTTACTTCCTTGAGAGCTTGGAGAACTTTGAACTGACAGCAGCCGGTTCGCCTGGTTCTGCCGACACCAGAGAGAAGGATTGTTTTGGTCCTTGAGTTGATGTTGCTTTTTCTTAATGCTTTGGAAAGCAAGCCTTTTAATTCATGGTTTTTATTTGTCTCAGGGCCGGCCCAAGGCTTAAGTGAACTTTGCTGCTGCTTGGGGACGTTTATAAAACTTAACATATTTCAGGGACATTTTTTTTTCTCTTTAATACACAAAAAATGCAATCTAAATTTGCTAAGTGGTTGTTACATTAAGTAAAACATAAATTAATGGATCTCTTTCCATTTAGTAGCTGTAATTTATTTTGTTTTTCTCATAGAAAGCATTACTTTTTTTCTCCAATTAAAAACAAACACCTAAATTTCACACTTTTTACCATTTCCTGTTTTTTTAGCAGACTAACCTTAAAAATTATTAAAACACCAAAACTATGATTTGATGTAAACATTTCAGACCAAAGTACCTTTAAAAAATTAACTGATCTGGAAATTATTTTTGCTGCCAATCTCAAATAGTAATATTTATTATTAAAGACTTATTTAAATGTAAATTGTGATAGCATTTTAAACTAGCTTTAAAAAGATTTGCCTCTTTGAAGACAGACGTGCTTTTTTTGAAGGTTGCATTTCTTTTTTTTTCTTTTTTTTTTTTTTTGTACTTTTGCATCCTGGGGATACATTTGCCAGATAGTTATGTAATTATGTTAATATTTGTCCGTGTGAGAACAAGCAAGCCTAATTGGTAAAATAACTCTTCTACAAAGGTGCGGTAACTGTGTCAGATTGAGTAATTTGGCTCATTGCAGAAGCACTTAGCAAACCAGTTCAGCCATGTCTGTATCTTCTTGTAATCAGGATGACATGATGAGTTGTTTATAGGACATTATGATGGAGGACTGATAAGATATTTGCTTTGTTTAATGGGAGATCCTCGACTGTATACATTGTAGGCTAATACTGACTGCCCAGAGGTGAGCCTCGGACTGACCCAACTTTATAAAGAGTTCTTTCAGCTGCTTTTTTTTTTTTTATTTGCCGGGGCTTTTGGGATTATAAATCCTGCAGAAAAGGAGCTTTGCTTCGGTGGCATGCTTCACTGGCAAGGAATCGTTTGAGGGGTGTTGGTGCGAGAGGGGTGGGCTCTGGTTGAGAGCCAGCGAAGGGTTTGAAGACGGAGGGGAGCTGAGCTGTGGTGACGGAAAGTGAACCCGTTTGGCTCCCTGTGATTAAAGGGCTCCTGTTCTCTCTCCCTGAACAAGCGAACGCATTCACACACAGGCAACACCTGCCTTTTCTTAAAGCGAAACTGTTCCGTATTTCCAAAACAAACACCTCCTCTGTAAAGGATTTTAATTTTAGTGTTAAGTTTCAAATTGTGTAGATGGGATACTGAGAGAGATCAAATCAGGGGGGAAAATTTGGGCCACATTCTCTCCCAACATCCAACTCTTGTGGGTGTTTTTTCTATCGTCTGGTATGCATTTCACTTTTCTGAAAGCCGGCCTAAAGTTGAAAGTTGATGAAGCATTACCAGATGCTGGCATAATATAAATCCATCTATTGTTTCTTCAGCACAATCTCACCAAAAAATCCAACTTTTAATTTGAGTACAGTGTGGAAAAAATGCTGAAATTGGCCCTGATTTCCTTTAATTATGGGCGATGTGGACTTAAAGTTTTACCATGATATTTTGTGGTACTTTGTGATAAAAGCTATTTATTACTCTTTTAGGGAACTGTAAAGCTGTGACTGTCAAAAAAATGATAAACACTGGGGTTTCCCCCAGTGTTTTATTAGCCTGGCGGGCCACCAGGCTTTACTTGTGCCCCCACCAGACTAAGCAATTTCTTATTTACTTAAGTATTTTTACATTTTTTAAGACTTTATCGTTGGTGTTCAGGTGTTAATCTTCCAATTTTTCAATAGGACATAATTATCAAGTGATATTTTCAAATTTCCTGTCAACTTTAAACATTTTTTAACTCAAAAATATGACGAGCCGCCGAATGAACGACTGCCCAAGCATCCAAACACCAGGCTTGGCATGTTTTCTGGGGGGCACCTTGGATAGCGCTACAAAAACAACTACTGCTTTTGAAATTTGTAATGCATTCAAATAAAATCTTTTAATCATATCTTGAGATTTAATTATATTTATTGAACAGACAATGGGGAAAAAATCCATTTATGTTAGAATTGTGTTGATTTTTAAGCCATTTCCTGAATTCTAAAGAAAATATTATCTATCTAAATCAAGTTTCTCATGTGCCAAGGATGGTGAGCAAAAGGAGGTGAAAACAATCAACAAACCTCGTTGTTGGGGAGTGGCATCATGGAGTCTCCATAGCAACCATTAGACACGATTGAC